AAATCCTTTCAAAAAGACTTAGTTTTTATGACTTAAATAAAATTTTAACACACTTATTTAATATAAAAAATCACTAATAGACTAGGAAATTATATTTAAATCATTAAAACTTTTTCCTCTTTTATGGGTAATCAAACCTTAACTCAATAATTAAAAAGTAGTGTGCATAAATAAATTCTAGCATTAATTTGAGGGCTTTAAACTCATTACAAACATATTTAAACCATTAATTAAACAATAACAACAACCTAGAATCAAACCCTAACCATATACATTAAATTCCCAAATTCTAGGGTTTGTAAATTAGGGTTTTTGATTAAATAAAAATCTGAAAATTATATGAATAATTTAACAACATCAAATACCCAAAATTAATACCAAAACATAATCAAAATCATGCTTTAAAAATAACAAAACAATAGAATTAAATTAGGGAGAGTAAAGAGTTTTTTTTTTTTTAATTGTACCGAACCAACACAAAAAGGAGAGAGAAGGAGGGTGGCCGGCGGTGGTCGTTGGTGGTTGTTAGTCGTGAGGGGAGGAGAAAGAGGGAGAGAAAGGCGTGGAAAAGAGAGAAAAAAAGAGGAAAAAGAAAGAGAAAAAGGAGAGAGAAAATACAGAGAAAACTTTTGGGATTTTTTGTGAAATCTGACAATTATGATTTTTGAGTGAAAGACCTTGGAGTTTTGAAGCATTTATACTCCCCTTTTAAAACAAAAACTCATAATTACAAGATTGTCATTACTAAATCCTACTCCCCCTTAACTTTTTCCTTTGGGGCCAACTTGTTGGGCTCTTAAGTGTCCTCAACTTCCCAACAAGTTGATCCAACTATTTAAATAAGAATGACCCAATTCAAAAACACTTTTATTGCCTCATATTATTTTATACACACTTACATAATATTTAAATAATTAATTCTTTTTAAATGAAATGAATCATTTTGATTTATAAAAATAAATAAAATAAATAATTTATATATATATATAAATATTATAAAAATACGGAGTATTACAATTTAAACATTAAAAGTTTTAACTTTTGGCAAAAGCTACTCTAATCTAAACACTATAAGCTACTTTCACCACTACCTTGCCGAACATGCCTAATTTTTATCAGGTAGCGTTTTGACCAAGTCAAAAAGCTAAAAGCTACTCAAAAGCTACCTAAAACGCTAATGCCGAACACGCCCCAAGTGTTCAAATTATTTTTGGTAATATATAGTCATGGAGGTTAGATCCGTCTTAATAATTTTTCCTTCTAAATTTAAATTACTTTTATTAATAATTGAAGAAATTTATGTTTGAAATCACAATCAAACCAACCTAAAATGTGTCAACTACTTTTAAATGAAATAACTATAGAGATATATTTGAAGAAATCATTATATATTACTAAAATTATAGGAAAATTGATATTATGAAAGTATATATTATAACAAATCCAATAATATATTATATAATAATATTGGTCTTTTTATATATTGGTAAAATAATCAAGTGAAGACCATTAAATTGATAGTGAAAAAAAAAAAAATCAAAGTATAACACTTAAAAAAAAAAACGCAGAGGGTGTAATAAGATTTTACATAATTGCTCCTGTTGTTTTTACTCTGCTTTTAAGTATTTCAATTTCACCAGCTGCCAAAATAACATATTTAATTTTTTGAAAAAATAGTATATTATAAAAAGTTAATATTCGAAAAATATACATTGAGATGATTCATTCTAACAAACACAACTATATTACCAATGTTACCAAGCAAGTTAGTATTGTGGAAAGGTTTGCATCTCATAAATGAAGTTGTAGGATTAAACCACACAAGAGACAATTTGGGGTGAGGAATTGAGGATTCCCTTATTACCTTTCCCTCCTTAGACAAGATTGAACTGTGACAAATTTTGTTGTGGTCAAACCCTTCTCCTTATCTAAAAAAGGAAAGGAAAACTGTAAAACTCAAAATCTATGAATTGTTGAGAAAGTATGTTTCAATTTTTGTAAAATTATGTTAAAAAAATAAAATACTATCTCTATTTTAAGTTATTTGCAACGATTTAACATAAAACATGAGTTGAAAATGTCTAATCATTATAAATAACTAGATGGAAGCCCGTGCGATGCACGGTTTTTTCATCTAAGATTTTTAATTATTTGATTTATTGTATTTAATAATTCAGACAAAATTACAAAAGTTTAATATTTATTTTTTTTATTGTAATTTATAATGAATTTATTAAATATAAATAAATTATAAATATGATATTTTTTCCGTTATATGAAATCTATAATGTGAAATGATATATTTTTAATAATTTAAATCCTAAATCATTATTCATTGTTTTACCATATCTTTTATTTCGATAGAATCATCAACCTCGTCCACAACCAACCTGTTACATCAATGGATAAAAATGTTAGCCAAACTGAAATTGATATAAATTAAATCTTTACATTTATATAAAATAAATCAATATATTTATCAATAAATGAAAAATTATTGCGATATAAATCAAATCTATTTATTGGAATTTTTTCATCTTCTCTAAAAATAATCAAAGCCATCCATATATAAGTATACAACATCTATTCGTATGTCATTACATAATTAAACAAATAATTGTTAAGTATCCTAAATAAATACAATGTAACTAATAATAACAAATATAAATTTAAACATAAGATTTTAAAAATTACCCGGACATTGATAACCTAAAACTAACAAAAAATTACTAACACAAAATTCGCTTGATGGGGTATGTATTGATACGAAATTTTATTTGTGTCGTATGATGTGTTAGATCTGCATGTAAAAAAATATTTAGTAAATAAAACATAAACATATAATCGTTGAGTATCCCAAATAGTACAATGTAAGTAATAATTAGAAATACTAATTTAAACATAGGATTTTAAAAATTAAGCTAAAAATTATCCGACCATTGATGAAAAAAAATTAACACAAAATTCGTTTGATGGGGTTTTTTATTGATACGAAATTTTGTTTGTATCGTATGATGTGTCAATTTATAATGGTAGATATCACAAATTTTAATTTAATTATAATTAACGAATAATTTGAATTTCTTATCATAAATACTATCAAAATTTATCTTATATGATAGGTTTCAAACTTTATTATAAGCCTTTATCATTTAAATATCTTTTAGTATATAGTTTTTTGGATTTCTTATACTCGTAGTGTTGAATTAATAAATTTATCTTTTTCTATATTTTTACTTTTTTTTTCATTAAAATAATTTAATTCGTGGATTATAATCTACGTGGCATTAAAATTTTAGATATATCAAATCTAATTCGTTACTTTTATCTAGGTGGCGATGCACGATTTTTTTTTTTCATACATAAATCTCAAGAAAAGATATTTTCCTATAGACTCTAAGTTTATATATATATATATATAATTATTTGATTTATTTTACTATTTAATAATTTTAGACGAAAAAGACACATAATAACTTAATTAAAGTGTTATTGCCTATTGCAAAAGTATAATTTTATTTTTTTTAACGTAATTTATTATGCGACTTTATTTATTGTTGTTTTGTATTTTATTCGTTGTTGTTAGTTATATGCCAACTGAATTTAATAATATGAATAAATTTTAAATATGATATCTTTCAAAAAAAAATTGTAAATATGATATTTTATCGATTACATATTAGGTTAAAATCTTTAATGTGAAAAGATATTTTTTTCATATTTTTTGAATAATTTAAATCCTAAATCATTATTAGTTGTTTTTTAAAAAAATAGAAATAACAAAAAAAATAATAAAAATATGTATACTATTTTTCTTCTATTTCAACTGAATCACCTACTTCGTTCACACCCATATCTCTTCCATCTAATAAAAGTGGATAAATAAAACATGTTAGCAAAAAAAATTTATTTAAAATTAACCGTTATAGTCTTATAAAATAAATCAATATATTACCAGGAAGTGAAAAATTGTTGTAAAATTGATTTAAAAATTGTAATTGTACAAAATCAAATCTATGCATTGGAATTTTTTCATCGTCCTTAATCGAACGAACAATAGTATTTTGGAAAATTGAATCATTATTTTGTTTTCATTGACAATGCGTGCAATATTGCTTCTCATTTGTAACGAATGAAAAGTATTTAATTGAGTAAACTTTTCTTTCAATTAATTATGGACGAATTGTACAAAGTTGGCTTTAATTGAGGTATGAACGTAATCAAAATTAAGTTAATTTGATGACTTGATTAAGCTACCTAAATCACAAAAAATTTGTTCTAATCATAAAGTTAATTAATATAAACTACAAAGGTTTATAAAAAAATTTAATAAATGTAAACAATTTATAAAGATACAATACCTTCTCATCCAATAGGATCATCAGGCGAGAAACTCGTACTTTGATTTTCCAATCATTTTTGCTCGAATCTAATTCTCTGATTAAATCAGATCTATGTGTAAAAACAAAATTCAGTAAACAAAACATAAAAATATAATCGTTAAGTATTTCAATTAAACACAATGTAAGCAATAATCACAAATATACATTTAAATATGGATTTTAAAAATTAAGCTAAGTATTACTCGGCCATTGATGACTAAAACTGACACAAAATTCGCTTGATTTGGTTTTGTATTGATACGAAATTTTGTTGGAGTTGTTGGATGCGTCAATTTATAATAGTATGCATCACAAATTTTAATTTATTTATTATTAAGGAATAATTTTTAGTTCTTATCATAAACACTATCAAGATTTATCTTAGATATATAAATCCTATATCTAAAGATGATTTTCTTAAAAATAATTTTTAATTTTTTAAATAAATTAAATCCTAATAAATTACTATTCGTTGTTTTAACTACGTGGCAAAATTCTTAAATCTCATTCGTCACTTTTTCTTATGTGGCGAGTGAATTTATTAATTCTAAAATAAAATACAAATCTAATTTTTAATTGGTCGAAATAATATCTTTGCTTATGTGATGCGTTGAATGCTCTCGAAAAATGCCTACTTTATTTATATAATAATATATTAGATTTGAAACGAAGGTAGTATATCACTAAAATCCAACATAGAAGTAGATCATCCAGAAAATCTATACACACCATAATACCAAATATACATCTCCCCAAAATCCAAATACGCGTATATTTTACACGATTTACTTGTATCTAATTTATTGCTCCCTATTATTTATATATAAAAAAAAATCTTCTAGAAGGGCAAAATAATTATATAATTCTTTTATTTTTATTTTTAAAAATGAGTTGGATTAAAAAAGAAAGCCAGATTTGCGTGATTTTCTTTATCTTTTGCCTTATTCTCTTCTAATACCATACTTATAGGCAATTTCAGCTGTTTTTACACAGCACACATTCTGTTGCCTCTCTCTCCGATTACTTCTCTCTGGTCGTTGTGTTGTGTTGTGTTGAACTCATACAAATTATATACCACATTCCCAACAAATAAACGCTACCCCACATCACAGTAACCCGTAACCTGTAACCCAAAACAAATTCTTGTATCACGGTCTCATTTCTCCATCCGGAGATACCCAATTATCATCCCCTTTAATCCTTCTCCATCACGTCAACCTTTGTTTTTTTTTTTTTTTATTTTTTTTTATTAAAACCCCACTTCACTGATTTTGCATCATATTAATTCTCCCTCAAGAAAAATAAAATTAGAAATTTTAGAGAGAGAGAGAGAGAAAATACAGAGAAATATGGGAGATGAAGAACGAACTAGAAATAGTAGTAATGGTAATAACAGAGAAGTTGAGCAAAAAGTTGCATTCTATAAACTGTTTAGTTTTGCTGATAAATGGGATATAATATTGATGATTGTTGGAAGTATTTCCGCCATTGCTAATGGAGTTGCGCAGCCATTGATGACTCTTATTTTGGGTCAGATTATTAATTCTTTCGGTAGCACCGATGCCGAACATGTTGTTCATGAAGTTTCTAAGGTAATCCAATTACTCTTTTATTTGATTATGTTTTTTACGAGTTGTCGAGTTTATATCGGTTATATTATAATTTTTATTTTTAGATGACCGGATGAAAAATAAGGCGTGTTTTGGGAATTATGATGGAGTTTGGGCAAAATTTTATTAGAGTGATGAGCAATATTCGTTCGTAATCGATGTTAACTTCGTGTCACAAGTATTGTTAGTTCATCACAATTAGAATTGTCGCATTCATAACGGTTGTGATTGTTTTTTTTTTTGGCAATGGGTAATTTTGAATAACTTTCCGGGTACATGTTCATGAAAATGATGACGTGATCGAGATAAAATTATAATACGGAGTATAATTTTTTTTGGGTGCAAATTACTGGAGAGTTAGTTCTAATTTAAGTCACAAAATTAACAGAAAAACCCTGGTTAGATAGATTATTAATTAAACATATTCTTAATTTAAGGTCATTCATTCCTTGTTTTAACTCTTTCATTCTTTATTTTCGGCATGATTTCCTTCAATTCCGATTCCGGAATCAGAAAAATAAGGGTTTCGATTCGAGTGGTTTATATGAAATTGAATTGGTTAATCATATGGACTGGGGAGATAAACGAAGAATTTGTTAAAATTGTTAGATATACACAATGAGGTTTATACGTCAATGAGATGTTGATAATCATTTTAATTTATTATTGCCAATAAAGACTGGCCAAGTATTAGAAATTTAGAGTATTTGTTTTGCCTATTCTATTAACTATCTTTTAAAATGGACTTTAAATATTAAATCCCATACTTGGCTTGGAAATGATGTCTTGTTTGGTGGCAACTTCATAACATGAAGTTGCATAGAAATTTTGCTCATAAAATGACAATTGGATTCACAACACACATACACGACTTTGCTTCTAAGGAAAGATTATATTAATCTAATCAACAATACTAGTACATTACTACTATACAATATACAAACAATATTTATGAATTGAATGATAATTATTTTTTATATAAAGAAAATAAGTTAAATTAAACGAGATAAATGTGCTTATCAGATGTTACACGCGAGAGCATGATTTTGACTTCATACATGTGAGCATGATGTCAACTTCGTGTGCATAGTCTATGCGTTGGGATAAAGAGAATGGATCTATTGTAAGTTGTAACGTCTACTGAGATTAACAACAGAAAAGCCACACGACCCTTTGTTCCCCACCTTACCTTTTTTAGTATTTTGACGAATAAAAATCCAAATCTGACTTGGGCATGTATGTCATTTAGAGTCTGAACGTGGGGGAATAATAGTCAATTGTAGGGTCAAACTTAGGGTCCAAGAAATACTTTCTTTATAAAAAAAAGTTTTATACTATAAATATTCAAACGAAACATGTAACATGAATTTTTGAAACATTATTATTATTATTATTATTATTAGGCAAAAGGTAACGAGTGCTCCCGGGCGTTAGATAAGAGAGTTGAAAGTGGAATATTAGAATAAAACTAACATTAATTATACCGAAAGACGCGTGATTTTGTCATCATACATTTATAACTTAATACCATTTTGAGCAATATATTCATTAGTTATCTAACGACTTATTATTATTATTATTATTATTATTATTATTATTATTATTATTATTATTATTAGGGTAATACATATAAGCATTAAATACACTATTGAAAATTGTATAAAATTAGGAATTCATAACAAAAACACGCGTAAATCAGTGTAATTAGTGTATATTTTTATGATTTCCTAAATTTTTAGGATTTTCTAATGAGTGTTTGATGCTTATATGTAACCCTAAGGGCTATGTATAACATTATTATTATTATTATTATTATTATTATTATTATTATTATTATTATTATTAGTTACGTAGATGATTTTTGTATCCAAAAAATCTTATACAAAAATGTACAGTATTTTGGGTCAACGAAAGGAGATCATTTTCATTTATGAACTTTTGATAAATATAAGGGTCAACTATTTTTTTTGAGAATTGTTATAGTATTAATGAACAAAGATGGGGCATGGAACAAGCAAAGAGAAGGCATGAAACAAACAAAGAGAAAGCCTAACTAGCTCATTTAACATCATGTCTACTGACCAAACTTTTTTTTTATTACTTTTTTTTTTATCCAATTCAAAAAGATCAATAAAGCAAATACTTGAAGAATCCTTCTAAGACAAACCACTGGATTTAGTTTTTTTTAAAGGGGCCGAGGGTTTGTTTGGTTGACAAAATAAAATGAGGGAACTGAAAATTTATGGAAATTTGTAATTTGGGTAGTTCTTTGGTTGATAGAAAAAAAAACAAAAATGGGGGAAGTAAATCAAAATTCATGTGAATTCCTAGGATTTTCATTTGGGAAATAACTTTCCATGAAATACAACTTTCTACGGGAATTTATTTTCCGTTTCAACCAAATGAGACCTGAGTATATATCTTTACATAATTCAATTCCATTATTATAAACGTGAACTAGATTTACTGATATTATTTTATAGATACTGTATTATTTTTTATTTCTCTAACATTGCTCTTGCAACTCTTTATACACAATATTAAATTCGATTAATTGAATATCTAATACCTCATCCATATTTGTTATGTAAAAGGCCAATTAATTCTTGTGTGAATAAGGAGACGAAAAACCAATCATGAACAAAATTGAGCAAAAAATGAAAAAAGACAGTTCATTAATGAGCAAAAAACCACTTATATACTGAAAGTGACAAGATTCTTCCAGGGTGTAGCAAAATTAGTGATGAACTGATTGACAAGTTGAGATTTTTCCTTTTACTTTGTTTTTTATATGTTTCTGGAAATTTCTTATCGTATCAACCAATCAGAAAGTTTATGTTGGTACTTTTAATTCTTGTTATATGAAACCAAGGTTTTCACATTGAGTGGCCGACATAGGTTAAAGGGGCATATGTTGTTATAGTGTGGAATTGTGGATCGTACAAAATGGAATGGTGCATTTGAAATTACTACTATTTGCCGTGCTATATTTCATCATTATTATGCTCACCTCTTTTGACCCTTTTTTTTCCCTTAATTATTTCACATGTACTACTTCCCTTATTGACAATTCAGTTTAGATAGTGTCTTTTATGTTATTTGGAAAATTGATGTATAATAGTCGAGAATTGATTAAGGGATTAGCGATAGACTATGAGAGGTCAAGTTGAGGTTTGATTCTCTTCTTTCTCCAATCTTATGGGGGTGTGGGTGTTATTATTTGGATTCCTTTTAGATCAAGTGTCCACTTATCTACTCATTGGTTGGAACTTATGAGAGTTGTGGACTCCAAACAAATTCACTCGATTTAAATGATATTACTATTCTGAATTCGAGTTTTCTTTACGTAATTACATCTTGATGTGATAAACTAATCATAGAATGGTTTGGTTTCATTCCTCAAATTCAATATGGTAGTGCGTAGTACTCTTTATATTGTATTAATTTAGGGGACCCTATCTTGATAAGGAATGGCACAAACAAATCATGCAATTTGAGGAGGTCTTAGCTTGATCATAACATTTTTATAGTGGATTTGAGCCAAGAATGTATACTTTACTAATTCTTATATCAATTATTATTCCATATGTTTGGTGAATATATATATTAAAAGGACAGAATAAAATTATAGCACAAAAGAAAGAAATTGTAATTTTGCTGCTTATCATTCTTATAATACAATAATATACTCCCCATCATTGGTCTATATAAAGAAAAGAATGAGTATAATTAATCATTTTGGATGAGCCAAACAGGGCATATTTGATGGAATTAAGTGCATTAAAGAGATGGTTACAACTTAAAAGTAGTACTACAATTGTTCTTGTTCCCATTTTATTTTAAGTTGATGTACATTTAAACAGTGTTTCTAATCAGAGTGTTTTTTTTTTTTTTTTAATGAAAAAAATCCTCCATTTGGGTTGTCTCATTCTTCTCTTTTCCTATGTCTTATAATCAACATAATGTGAATTAATTAATTATTATAATTGTCCTCTAATTCCTAGCTAATTTCTTGCTTACTCATTAATTTGTGATTGCAGGTATCCTTGAGGTTTTTATACCTGGCAATATATACTGGCATAGCTTGCTTCCTACGTAAGTAAAATCGTACAAGTTCATCTTTGGAGTAACACTTAAACAAATGAAGCATTTGCACAAGATAACATGAACATGAATTATCTCTACACATTTGAAAACAAATTCAGAATAAAAGCAATCGAGAAATAAGTTTTTAATCAATAATAATACTTCAGGAACACAACAAAAAAGTTGTGGAGGGATCAAATTATTATCATCCTTAAATTTTGTTCACTCTGGTATATTCTTAACAAAGTGTGCATGACTCTTTAGTTTCTATGCGTTGCTTTGACAATAGAGGTAAATCTATGCGATGCTGATGTAAATCTATGCGTTGCTTTGACAATAGAGGTAACATGCTGGATTGTAACTGGAGAAAGGCAAGCAGCAAAAATTCGAGGCCTTTACCTGAAGACAATTCTAAGGCAGGATATAGCTTTCTTTGATACCGAAACAACTACAGGAGAAGTCATCAGTAGGATGTCAGGGGACACTGTACTCATTCAGGATGCCATGGGCGAGAAAGTTGGCAAGTTTATACAGTTAATGGCAACGTTTGTTGGTGGGTTTGCCATTGCCTTTATAAAAGGTTGGCTTTTAGCCTTAGTTTTGCTAGCATGCATCCCAGCCCTTGTTATATCTGGTGCTACCATGGCAATGTTGATGATGAGAATGTCAAGTCGAGCCCAAATGGCCTACGCTGAGGCTGGAAATGTTGTTGAGCAGACTGTTGGTGCTATCAGAACAGTAAGTTTCTTTGTTAAGATAAATGCAGTTGCTTCTTGTGTTTACTAATGATTTTATTCTCTGATATACTGTCTTTGATGTATATGATTAGGTTGCATCGTTTACAGGTGAAAAAGATGCAATAAAAAAATATGATAACAAGCTTATAATTGCGTATAAAGCTGCTGTTAAGCAAGGGTTAGCCTCAGGATTAGGGCTTGGTGCCTTAATTTTCATAATATTGTCTACATATGCTCTTGCTGTCTGGTATGGAGGGAAACTTATCATAGAAAAAAATTACAATGGTGGACAAGTCCTCAATGTAATTATGGCCATGATGACTGGTGGAATGTAAGTCTATCCTTTTCTCTTGAGGCTCTTCTTTCTCAAGGAAAATGATTATTAAAAAAAAAAATAGAAATGCAGTGAATTTTCAACATTCTTTTATTCCTTTAATTCTGCAATCAAATCAAAATATAGAATTGTTTGTCTTTTTTTTTTTTTAATTAATTTTTTGTAAGTACTTAAGGCATGTTTAATCTTAAACAGGTCACTAGGACAGACATCTCCGTGTCTGAATGCATTTGCAGCAGGACAAGCAGCAGCATACAAGATGTTTGAGGCAATACATAGGTCACCAAAAATAGATGCCTCAAGCACTGAAGGCATTGTATTGGAAGATATCAGGGGTGAAATTGAGCTAAAAAATGTTGATTTTCGGTACCCAGCAAGGCCTGATGTGCTGATTTTTTCCGGATTTAATTTGCATATTTCTAGTGGAACAACTGTTGCTCTAGTTGGACAAAGTGGGAGTGGAAAATCTACAGTCGTTAGCCTCATCGAGAGATTCTATGATCCTGATTCAGGTGAGGTTCTCATTGATGGTGTTAATTTGAAGCAGCTTCAGTTAGCTTGGATTAGACAGAAGATTGGATTAGTGAGTCAGGAACCTGTACTCTTTACTACCACTTTAAGAGAAAACATAGCATATGGGAAGGAAGGTGCCACTGATGCTGAAATTAGGACTGCTATTGAGCTTGCTAATGCTGCCAAATTTATTGATAAGCTTCCAAAGGTAACCCCCTAAAAAGAATGTTCACTGAATGGATATTTTATTTTCTAGAACATTTAAACAGAAGTATTTCCAAGTCTGAATTCCTAGATGAGCTAAAGAAACATTTAGGATTCTCATTTTACGCTGGCATAGGTAAGAGGAGAGACATTGCTTTATAGCAAGCCAAAGAGGGTGCTTAAATGGTTGTTTAATACATTATTTTGCAGGGTTTGGACACTATGGTTGGGGAGAGAGGAACCCAACTTTCTGGTGGTCAGAAGCAAAGAATAGCCATTGCACGAGCTATTCTGAAAAACCCAAGAATTCTCCTCCTAGACGAGGCTACTAGTGCCCTTGATGCTGAATCTGAACGCATTGTACAAGATGCACTTGACAGAATTATGTCAAATAGGACTACTGTCATTGTTGCACATCGATTGACTACCATCAAGAATGCTGGCACGATAGCAGTCGTTCATCAAGGGAAAATCATTGAGAAAGGTAACACATGCCCTTGTATATAGTTTCTTTAAGCTACTAATAAACACAATTTGTATTCCATTCTACAAGTTAAAGTTTTACCTCCTGAAGGCTATGCATTATTTATAAGCATCCTAAACCAGTTAAGTGGAAAAGACACTCAATTTTCCAACTATACGTTGATTCAGGTTCCCATGAGGAGTTGATCAAAGACCCCGAAGGGGGTTACTCGCAACTGGTGAGACTTCAAGAAGGGGCCAGAGAACAAGAAGCTGCCCTTATGGATCCTAGTAGTCTTGAGATGAATCAAAATCTTGAAAGGACAATGAGTAGATCAGCAAGTCAAAGATATTCTATAAGGAGATCAAGAAGTAGAGGTTCCTCCAGTGGAAGGCATTCCATTTCCATCAGCTTTAGTGTCCCTGGTCCTGTAAATATTCAAGAGACTAACGAAGGGAATTTTTATGGTGATGGTGATGACTACGAGAAAACAAAAAAACCCGATGAAGAAGCAAAAAGGGAGAAGAGTAGGAGTGTTTCCATGAGACGTTTGGCTTACTTAAATAAGCCAGAAATTCCAATCTTGCTGCTTGGAAGCCTTGCTGCTTCAGTGCATGGGATTATCTTTCCTATTTTTGGATACCTTATTTCCTCAGTCATCAAAATATTCTATGAATCAGCTCATTTGCTTCGCAAGGATTCAAGAAAATGGGCACTTATTTACATGTCTTTAGGTATTGCTAGTTTTATAGCAATACCTTTTCAGAATTTATGTTTCGCAATTGCAGGAGGTAAATTGATTCGAAGGATCCGTTTCATGACCTTTGAAAAGGTTGTTCACCAAGAAATTAAATGGTTTGATGATCCTGCAAATTCAAGGTTTGTTTATTCTATCTCTACTAGTTTGATTGCATTAATTATTTTCAAGTATCTCACTTCGGGACCTTTTTTATGATTAGTGGAGCACTGGGCGCAAGGTTGGCAACAGATGCAGCAAATGTTAGGAGCCTTGTAGGGGATCAGTTGGCCTTAGTTATGCAGAATATAGCAACAGTGGTCGCTGGTTTAGTAATAGCTTTCACAGCTAATTGGATTCTAGCTCTCATTATTCTAGCTGTGGCACCCCTTATGTTTCTTCAGGGGTACCTTCAAGCAAAATTCATGAAGGGATTTAGTGCAGATGCTAAGGTTAGTACCTTTACAATTTAGCCCTCTTCACTGTTTCTTTTTTCCTTTAAAATGTCCTTTTCAATCTAAGAAAGCTTGAATTTCATGTAATTTTGTAGATAATGTATGAAGATGCAAGTCAGGTTGCAAATGATGCAGTTGGGAGCATCAGAACAGTTGCATCCTTCTGTGCAGAGAAAAAGGTGATGGATTTGTATCAGAAGAAATGTGAGGCTCCAGTAAAACATGGTGTTCGTTTAGGGCTCATTAGTGGTTTAGGATTTGGTTTCTCTTTCCTTGCCCTTTATTGCACAAATGCATTCTGCTTTTACATCGGGGCAATCCTTATTCATCATGGTAAAGCTACATTTGCAGAAGTTTTCAAGGTAAAATAACAATAATAGTTTTTATGTCATCACATCACCCTTGTTATCTACTATATGGTTTTTGTGAGCTTTTGGTATGATAGACAGTTTTTTGTTGCAGGTTTTCTTTGCATTAACAATCTCAGCGGTCGGTTTATCCCAAAGCAGCAGCATGGCTATGGACAGGAACAAAGCCAAGGACTCTGCTGTCTCGATCTTTAAGATTATTGATAGTAAGCCTAGCATTGACTCAAGCAGCGAAGCTGGGATAACACAAGAAACTGTCAAGGGTGATATCGAGTTCAGTCATGTTAGCTTCAGATATCCAACTCGGCCAGATATCCAAATATTCAGTGACTTGAGTTTGTTTATTCCATCTACAAAGGTATTTTATTACATAAAGTTAAATTCTTAGTCTTCCCAGTTCCAAACTGTAAAAAATAACATTGATCATCACAACCTCAATAAACAAAGCACCTCCATAATAATCCCCAATATCTCAAAGCACCCCCTGTTAGAACCCAAGATACCAAAAACACCCCTGTGATGAACTAAAAACAGTCATCACAGCAGGCATTTGGGAAAAACCTTGACTTTTTGTTAAATGCCCTATTAGTAAAAAGTAACAGTCTACCGATCATGCATACTTGAATTTTAGCTTTAAACATCTCCTGATAAGATATAAATGCCCTAAACCATCTCCATTGGTGAGACTCAACTTTGAGTATTGAAATACAAAATGAGTTGTTTTTTACCTCCAATGGTGATACCCAACCCACTTCTCAATTTAACAACTCATGTGAAATCTAATTTTTCAATGGTGAGACTCTCTAAAGTATATTAATTGTAAGATTTTCAATAAAAAAAAAAAAAAATCAAAAAACTTAAATAAATTACAAAATATTGATAAGGGCCCACACTTTTTGTAAAATGGGACTCAATGTTGGGTATCTAAACTTAGCAACTTTCTTTTAGAGTTGCTAAGTTTAGATACCAACTTATTGGTATACTTTGTTAAAAATACTCTCTCTCTCCTAAAAAAACTCCCTCAAGTCTCACCATTGGAGATAGTCTTATAGAGGGCTGTGTGAGTCTATCAAAAGAAAGAATGTTATTTAGTTCATTTCTGTAAAAAAAAACCCCGGGGGTGAAATGGTGAAGGAAAATAATTGGATGGTAAAATAAAAAGTTCAGTGGTAGCTTTGTGCAAAGTGGTAGTATAAATTAAGGATGATTTAACATCTTATTCATTGTTGACATTATGTAGACTGTTGCACTTGTGGGAGAAAGTGGAAGTGGGAAATCGACAGTGATCAGCATGATTGAGAGGTTCTATGAACCAGACAAAGGTCGAGTGTTCCTAGACGGGGTAGAGATTCAGAAGTTCAAATTAAGTTGGCTAAGACAACAGATGGGGTTAGTGAGTCAAGAGCCAGTACTCTTCAATGAGAGCATCCGTGCCAACATAGCCTACGGAAAGGAAGGAGGTGCCAATGAGAATGAGATCATTGAAGCTGCAAAAGCCGCCAATGCACACAACTTCATCTCAGGATTGCCACAAGGTTATGACACCTCAGTGGGAGAAAGAGGGGTGCAGTTGTCAGGGGGGCAGAAGCAAAGGATAGCCATTGCACGGGCGATTCTAAAGAATCCTAAGATTCTGTTGCTTGATGAAGCCACTAGTGCTCTAGACGCTGAGTCTGAACGCATCGTGCAAGATGCTTTAGATAGTGTAATGGTGCATCGGACAACTGTGGTTGTCGCTCATCGGTTAGTCACAGTCAAGAATGCTGATATAATAGCTGTAGTCAAGAATGGGGTGATTGCTGAAAAGGGTAAACATGATGAGCTCATGAAAATACCTGAAGGTGCTTATGCTTCACTAGTTGCTCTTCATGCTAGTGCTGCTTCAACCTTATAGAGTTTAGTTAGGATGCTAATCCTGCAAAGTTTATGTAAACATTAGAAAACATAGAAAATGTGTTGGTGGTTAACCTTGATTCAAAATTTGTCTTTCCTGTAAATTTTTTTTCCACTCTTTAATCCTAATTCCTGATACATACAGAGAAATATTTCATTCGCCTTTCATAGGCAAGCTTGGAAATAGCAAGAGCACATCCAAATTAGTGAAAGTGCAATCATGAAGCAACAAAACAACCATCATAATGGTTATTGTGAGGGACTGTTTCAAGATAATCTTTATGATTGTTATAACCATCATCATAATGTATTAAGGAGAGACCTACAAGAGTTCGTAACGTTGACGGGATTTCTGTCACATGTTTAGGCTAGATATTACCATCTAAGCTAGTTGGCATCTATTATAACAAAGCTACAAAAAAAGGAATCGTCCTTTATGGCTTTCTATCGACTCTAGTGAACACTTTGATTTTACTTACTAAAAAGAACGTTTTCCCCCTGCTTCTTGTTTACTGCATTCTGTTTCATACTTTTGTTTCAATTATGAAAATAACCAGATAGAAAGAATAATTGTATCACTTGTATGTATGGCAAATCAATTGTGTAAGTTATAGAGTGGTCTCTTGTCAAACGGTTGGACTAAGCATTTTTTTATCCCTATCCCTGCATATACTTTATAAAAAGTTTAAGAAAACTCTTATAAATAGTGCATGGACATTTATATCCCTAAAAATGTTATTTTACACAGTTGCCCCCATTTGATTTCAAAAGCATTATAATTATCTCTTGAATTCCCTAAATTGATTTTAAAAGTTATGTTTATTTCAATATTTAAATCCATGTTTTACACTCGGTTTTTTTTTTATTTATTTATTTTTTATTTTAATTTTTCTATTTAGAACTTATTAGACATTTATATTTCTACATTGAACTCAATATCTTTTTACCTTTTAATCACTAAGGCCCTGTTTAGTTCACCTTATTTTTACTTATTTCAGAAAAAATAAGTTCAGATCAGATCAGATCAGATCAGAAAAAATAAGTTCAGATCAGATCAGATCAGAAAAAATAAGTTCAGATCAGATCAGATCAGGAAAAATAAGTTCAGATCAGATCAGATCAGAAAAAATAAGTTCAGATCAGATCAGATCAGAAAAAATAAGTTCAGATCAAATTATTATTATTATTATTATTATTATTATTATTATTATTATTATTATTATTATTATTATTATTATTATTATTATTATTATTATTATTGATTTATGATGTATCGGATTTGATTTTATCGTTTGTTTGAACTAGAAACATTGTCCATGTTATTAAATAGCACAAAAAATAAACGATAATAATTAAAATTTCATTATAAGCTCCAAATCATAAACGTTTACAAATATAATTTTCATTACAAGAAGTTCCAACTTTCCTTCGCTATATTAAGTTGTATTTATACACCCATTTCATATAGAGGAGCCTAACGCGAACATGGGTCGGAAGTAGAGCTGTCAATTCGGGTAAACATGTCGGGTAAGTGTGGGTCGGATTAATTCGGGTCGGATCATTTCGGATTGACTACATTAATGCACATGCACCTACAAAGTAGTAGTATTCGTAAATAGTAATTACTAAATTTGAATAAAGAATGCACATGCATCCAAAAAGTAGTGGTATTCATAAATTTTCATAGGTTTTTTTGAGACGTAAATTATAATACATTTGATAATAGAGAATTTTTTTGAAAATATTTGAATAAGCTTTAATAGGAAAATAACTCATAGAATTAGGGAAAGAAAAAAAAAATGACGTAATCCTAGATTGCTAGTTAATTTCGGGTCAATAACAAGTCGGGTTGATTTCAGGTCGGGTTAATGATAGATCGGGTTGAATTCGGGTCGGGCTAGTAATAAGTCGGGTTAAATTCGGGTCGGGTTAGTAATAGGTCAGGTTAAATTCGGGTCGGGTTAGGAATAGGTCGGGTTGAATTCATGTCGGGTTAAATTCGGGTTTTGACGGGTTAAAACGGGTCAATGTGTCATTCCCACACAACCATACACGCATGAATAAAAAAAGGTTCAATAGAGGAACAAATGAATAAAAAAACACTTAAACGCCCTAAACAAGTTAAATATAAGAGCTTAAATAAAAAAAGGAAAATGAAATCTAATAATCACACCTTTGCTCCATCTTCCAGAAACAATCTCACCTTTTGAAATTTTAGAAACAATTCCATTAACAATAATGATATTATTATTATTTAATAATAATAATATAATATAATAGTAATAATAATATAATATAATATAATAATAATATAATACAATATAATATAATAATAATAATAATAATGATAATAATAATAATAACAATAATAATTAAACATTAATATTGATTAACATTAAAAGTAGAATATTGAAATAATTAAAATAAAGTTAAATCAGAAAAAATAAGTTCAGATCAGATCAGAAAAAATAAGTTCAGATCAGATCAGCTAAAATCAGGTGAACTAAACAGCCTCTAAATCAAAGTAGTTCAACTAAGGGGGCGTTTGGTTTGGATAATGGAAACAGAATGGAAAGGAAACAAAGAAGAGGGGGGAAAGAAATTATTTGACTATCCTTTTCATTTGTTTGGTTTGACCATGGAAAGGAATTATTTGACTATTACCTTTTCATTTGTTTGGCTTGATCATTGAAAGGAATTGGTTAAAATTTATTCCCTTTGTTTGTGTTTGAGGAGAGTAAGGCTATTTGTTACCCTAACCCTTAGGTAATGGTAATAGTTCTAACCAAACACTCGGTAATGGTATCGGTTTAATCGAATCCGTTTCCAATCCAAAAAATACACTGACCAAACATGCTCTAAAGTTTAGAACATTGCACAAATACATAACATCCAACACATTTATCGTCTATATATGCAAATAATTTTATAAAATATTATACAAATAGGCATAGGGCATAAAGAATATCGGTAATAATTCTTCCAAAAGGGTTAGCTATACCACACCCTAGTAATACCAAAGTTATTATTCTTAATTAAATTATGAATTTTAATTTAACTCTATCTATTTTTTGTAACCTTTTTTAATACTTTGTTCCTGTTTTTGTATTTTGGAGACTCAAAATGTTATTCCTGTTTCCATTTTTGAATAGTATATAAAGACCATTATACCCTCATTTTTTTTATTTCATTCATTGTACTTCCTACATTACCCTTCAATTTTGCATATGCCTTGTACTTTTTTCCTCTTTCTCTCTCTAACTTTTGTCTATAATTGTACTTTTTGCTTTTATTAATGTACATCATCTACTTTCTCCTCCTATTTTTTAAATACCCTAAAAAAACACAAACAGGAACCATGTATTGAGACGGGAGGAGTATATACATATTACATAGTATATTTTTGGGACCGTATTTCTTTCTTTATTATTGACTCTCATAAAAACATACGTGGGATAGGATAAATTGTGAAAAGTTTTTTTTTTATTTTTTTATTTTTTTTTTGGTAAAGGAGTGAAGAATTTTTTAATTTTCTTTTAAAAGAGAGAAAAGATCAGGAGAATTATTCGGCAAAGATATCCCTTTAATTAATCCTAGGCACATATATGATATATACTGATGTCACTGAATATTTCTTTAAAAAATATGTTGTGGACCAGTGCAAAAATACACACCACTGGACCCTACGAAACCAAAAAAATGCATGACCTTACATAAAACTATACAAGATCCTACGAAATTTGAATGACCATAATCTAGTAATCCAAAATCCAGTCAACAAATCTTTATGTACAAATTATACCTACTCGATATATCGCTACCAAAACCCTCTCACAAAAACAAGTCTAACTACACAAGCCGGATCGGATAAAAGAATCCCTAGAACTATAGTTGTTAGGGATCAAACCCTTCACGTCCAGGTCATAAAATTAAACATTTGCAAAGTACCAAATACATCGATAGCTATCTAGCAAGTGAGGCAAAATAAAGATGCCAATCTATGATTCTAGTAATAAGGCTCCCGTATCATAACAAACAAGAACAAATTTTTATTGGCTCAGCAAATGGCTTATCATTTAAAGTTGAGAAAGCACGCAAGGAGTTTTTCCCACCCCTTTAACCCCACCCTGTCTTCTCGGAATACTTTATCCTATTAAGCAACTTTTGATACAACTAGCCTCGTCGGAAACCCACCACCTTACGCACCACATTAGCTGCCCTTTTTCATTTTGGGTCTTTCAACTTCACAGCTCATCAGTCATCTCACTGATTTTCTTTACCAGCAGATGAGCACTATGAGCTTCAACGACCTCTGAAATTTCAATACACATGTCTACAAAGTTTCCTTGAATACCAGTATGGAAAATGGGACAGTTCGGAACAATAAAGGCTAATCATCCCTTCCCATTAGTGATAAGCAGCAGCTCTTAACAACATTATACATGTCATTGCCACAGACTAAGTAAATGATACACTTTTAAAAAAAACATATGTGCATGAAGGAGAAAAGTCAAATTCCACACTACTTAATACAGTAAATTACACACGTTAGCTTAATACAGAACCTGCAATGTAGCTTGTACCTGTAGTAGATGTGAAATTGCTACTTTGACATTCTAAAATCTTGTAGATTTGTACTCAGCATTGTCAAAAAAAATCTTCGATAGCTGGAAAATGAAGGATGACCATTTATGTCTAGTAAACATCAGCAGCAGCATTCCTTGCCGGAATCCTCTGACGATTCTCGACATAAGCTGTGGGAAACCAACCTGCTTTACCCTTGCATTCTCCTTCAGACCAGCCAGATGGGGTCACCTGTATAGCAATAACATAGTGAAAAGATTCAGATTACCCCAGGGCATAAACTAATAATAAAAAACACCAAAAAAGCCTTTTGAATTAAGTCCAGATACAATTGGTAAAGCAGCATGCCAAAAAAATAGGTTTGCCCCCGATCATTACCAAAATAAAGAAGGTAGACTCAAGGGTCAGTATTACTATGTTTGCAAAGGAAGATTTGGAGGGAAAGGGAGGGAAGGGAATCTTTCTCTCATTAACTTTTTTAATTATCTTTTTCTCTCTTTTTTTAATGACGCACAGTAATTGGACACAGTACTAAATTACTAATAGCTTTTGAAAGACTACTAACACATTGAAAGCGAAGTGCAAGGCCAACAACAGCAAGAAACATAGTAAGAAAAAAATAAATAACTAAATAAACCTTGCGAACAACAACGTAGTCGCCAACTGCAAGACTCAGCTCTTTGTCAGTTTCAGCATAGAACGGATGGATTGCCTGAAAGAGAAGAATGATCCTTGTAATCTCCAAGTTTCAGTTATGTACAATATAAAGCCCTAAATAAGATTAGGCACTGCAATAATGAGGCAACGCATCTCCTGAGCTATTCAATGGTAAAAACTCTAATTTATCAAGAAGTCGAGTAAAACTCAATTCGAAAAGCTCGCAGGATTAATAACATTTTTTTTCTTTTTTTAAATGGAAAATTTTTAAATATTAAGTCAACCTTTTGGCCATCCGCTTTTATTATGTCAACCTTAAGATTATTTTTTGGACACGTCATAATAGCATTAATTTTTATTACGTTTTTTTACTTTGACCGGGTAAAAACTTAATACTTTTTGAAATATTGGGATGGAAAAGTTGAGTTGGCATTTAAGGATGCCAACACCATACTCCAACAGTCCAACTCCCTCACAACCACCGGACCACCAGTCCACCACCTTTCTCCTTTACAGGCTAGCCCCACTAACACCCTCTCAAGTCTCAACCAGTCACCTTGCTGCATTCTTCTCACGCATCCACGTTTCACCTTTTTCACGTTGCTACCCACGACCACACTTACTCAAACAACAATCCCACAAAATTCGCTAGCAACCGTATCTCTCCCACCTTATCTACAAAATTTCCCTCATCGCTTTACCCAAAAAAAGGCACCAAATCCTCAGCCATCCGCTTTTAATCCGCAGCCAAAAAAAAGGCACCAAATCACAGCCGCAATTCACAACAAATTTAGCCCCAATTTCAGATGAAAATCGAAGCCGCCGCTTGAAGGAAGAGGATGAGGGAAAATAGGGAAGAAGGAAAGCAAGAGGAAGAATGAGGAAAAAGATGGAAGAAAAATGAAAGAAAGTGTGGGTGTTAGATGAATCGTGAATGGTTATGAGGATTAAGGTAAAAGGAAAGAATTTTTAAAAAGAAAATAACCTACACAAACTACTCCACGTAAGTTATTAACCTGTTTTTTCCACTTTTTTTAACGTAATAACAATTAATACTATTACACGGTTGACGTGTTCAGAAATAATTAAAAGGTTGACATAATAAAAACGGATGGCTAAAAGGTAGACTTAATATATACAAATTTTGCTTTTTATATATACATATATCTACAGTATTTTGAGAAATGATAAACTTTGTAAAATATAACCCTCGTCTTGTGCATATAATTTGAATAAAACAAACAAGAATAAAAACCTCAGCAAAGCCAACGTACACTCAAACATCTTCAATCTAGCATGCACAATTTTTTTTTTTTGTAGGTTTGAATTTGTAAACTTAAATATATGAAGCCAATGAAATCAATAGCACATCCTCAAAAAGTTGTTCATATAGAAACTTAAAGAGTACAACAGGGAACAAGTGGTACCAGTGTCCATATCCTATTGGAGAATAATATGATAGTTGTACAATAAAATAAAAAAATAAAAAATAAAAAACCTTAGGGAAAACAAGTACGTCAAATTTATTGTTCGTATAAATGAACTTTTGAAGTGTGTGTGTGTGTGTGTATTTTGGAATGCACTTTCCTGCGTCCGTACAGTTCATACCCATGCACGTATCCATATTAGTGCTACCTAAAGTATATATATGTAGTACTTGTATATTTTATTAGTTTGCGGTACTGAGTATATTTAAATTAAGTTCAAATATAAGGCTTTGAGATCAAAGAATTAAGGTCCCCCACCCCTCCCTATCTTTCATCTCTACTTGTCTGCTCCCACTCACTGCCACAATCAACTTTAGAACTATCAGGCTATCAGCAGTTGTATCAGTGTGAGTTAATCAAAGCTGATTGGACATATTTTAGCTCCAAATCATATCTTTGAAATACAAATTCAACAATCAAGGATAAGAGTGACGGAATCTTAACAGATCAACAAGTATAATCAGAACATCACCCACTCGACTAAAAGATTATGTTGGAAGTCTTTGTCTATATAATGCTTTCGTGAACTACAAAATTTTTAAGGCTCTTCTTCACATTAAATTGTAATCTGAATAGCCCACTCTAATTTAGAAATTTACTCAACTCTACTAATTCAGGTTTCTAAGACAGGCAAAAAATCAGTCCTAATTTAAGCCTATATAATTCTCATTCTTTAGAAAGTTGACGTACCCTGTACCAGCACACAAAATTCTAACAGAGAAACTCCACCCTAGGAACACAAGCAGATATAGATCATTCAAAACTTTAAAGATAAATGTATGTAATAGATAATGGTTTCACATACTTCAGCTAAGCAGTACAATTTTTTCCCGGAGTTGTTCTCTATTGAGAGGACAGGAGGAGCTGCTTCTTTCTGCTGCTTCTCCGACACCATCTGAAACAGAGGAAAGGCCAACATATACATTTTAATTTTGTTGGAGGATAAAATCAAATTTCCAATTCTAGAGATCGTAACTGCAGGTATACCTCAGCTTCAACCTCATTTAGAATAGTTGCTATTCTAACATGGTAATTCTTTTCCGCTTCAACCTTCAAGAGACGCATTGGATTGTTAGTCTGAGGAACTAGAGCCACAAAATTTGTTCTATGGTGTACCAGCATTATTTAATAGGATTACACATAGTGTTATATACCAGTGCTACAAGCCTCTGAAATGTCAGTCTTTGCTGCTGTGATTCAACAGCAGATAAAGCACCAGCTGCTTCTTTGCCTAACACTGCCATGTTAGCTTTCAGCTCTTGCATTCTAGCTTCTGCTGCTTGTAACTTTGCTGAATTTTCATGAGTTGAAGCCTCCCTAACACGCGCCCGCCTTCGATTAACCTCAACTGCCTGTTTTGCTTTAATGAAAATTCAATTTGAATAATAAGATAATAAAACAGTAACGGTCACAGGCTACAAAAGACTCGCTTTGACACTTCAAATATCTTACTTCTAAATCATCAAATGGCTATATTATTAATGATTGACCTTGATATAAAGGAGTAAGAAAACTGTAGTAAGGAAATTGGATGGTAGCTGCAACAGGGTTTTTTTAAGCAAATGGAGATGGTATATAACAAGTATAGAGCCACTATATTATGCAGGGATAGTCACATACCTGTGTTTCTGCTTCCTGTCTCATACGACTATAACGTTGTGCAAGATGGCGAGCATCCTCTAGAGGAGTGCCAGTACTCATTTGCCTCAAGGGATCCAATATCTGGAAAGAAAAACACTCAAGATGAAAAGCCTTTAAAATTCAAGAGAAAGAGGAGAATGTATAAAAAGTTTCACAGATAAGGCTTTGGGATAGAGGTAGATGCTCAATAGCAAGAAGTATAATCGGCCGAAAAGTACAGAGCTTGTAAAAGTTGATTATGAAAGTGAACTAATATATATCAAAAAAATATATGGCCCAAACCTGAACCCCCACAGAGGCACAGACCAGCCAAGAATGGGCAGTTCAAGGTTTGGAGCGAGATGGGTTAGCTGGCTCAACCCAAAAAACCAAAACCAGTTTTATATGATAACTGACTATCCAGAAATTTTAACATGTAAAAAAAAAGATAATGCATGGATCAAAACTGGGGCAGCTTAGTACTGGTTCAGTCCTGGTTCAAGGGGGCTCTGCTCTCCTGAACCGATTAATACTTGACAGTGGCTGGACCTGAACCAGGCCATTCAAGATTTTCCCTGGCCAGGCCAGCCCATGTTCCCCTGTATAATTCATACATATCAGCAGCACTAGGATGGCTCATGTATTTTCAATATGCAAGGTTCAAACTCCATCCCAGAAAACAAATGTCATATGAGCTGGTGACAAAATTTAAGATCATGCATGTGTACAGTTTAACACATGTAGATTTCAAAAACCCAAAGACTTCAGATTTACTATATTTTACTAATGTTCCCACACACTAATAGTTGCCATCCAAAATTAGCAACTGCTCCAACCCTTGCTAAGTTAAGTTCCCAAATTCTAACAAACACGAGATGTCCCTTCATCCTCCATTATTTATCGTGTTCAGGAAAAAGAAAAGTTACGGTCCCACTATTCCTTGTACAGTTGCCCAATCACTATTTAAATTTGTGGCGTTTATATGCTCTTTGCATGTAAACAGAAAATTGATAATATTCATAATTATCTAAAAAAAAACAGGAAATTTTGACAGAAAAGAGAAGACCAAGGGAGTAATTTTAACAAATCTTAACAGTTAGACAATCATCAGTTACACAAGAGAGAAAAGTTTTCTGGCACATATACTTAATATATTATTCAGAAAAAAGCCAATGATACCCAGACATTTAAAAACAAGCTGAAAAATGAAATCTTTAAATGGGAAAGGAAATTTAAGCAGTGAACCTCTTAGCTTATATAATACATCCACTGTTACTATTCATACTCTCCTTTGATCATCTTTTATGATGTGTACACAAGGAAAAATATAGTCATATAGAATCTTAATAGATTCGTCCTAATCTACTTACAAAATATCAAAATTTTATAAATTTATAGTTAGATATTAATTGTATAAGTTGTGCACTGGCAAAAAGAGAAATTAGATATCATTGGGACTGAATGTGCATACAGGGGGACCAAATCTTCCATATCGGTACAAGGGACTCAAAGTAAAAACAACAAAGGATAAAAGGCAATTTAATAACATGCAGTTATGACTTATGGGGGACTTAAATATCGAGAAGAGCTATAGTATACAAATTAGAAGATTAGATCTTGCTTTCATTGCTTCTAGAAGTACCAAGTGTATAAACAAGAACTTAACCCACCTGAGATAATAGCAGTTTATTCAAATCCTCCTGCTCCTTCTCTACATGTTTTCGAGCATCGCCATAAATTGATGCAGCCTTAGCCAAAATGTTGTCTTCAATATTCTCAGCTCCATATTTGCAACACTCCTCAGACAATTTAGTGCCTAGCATAGAGAAGGTTTTAAAAAAATTATATGAATGAAAATTGTATAGATAAATGCATGCACGTACAACGCTAATTCTGCACAAAAAATAGGTACTCTCATCCTCACCCTTACAACAATATCCTTTTGTTGCAATGCCTAAAACTTCCCAATCGAAGAGTGCTCTTGAACAGCATTTCATTTGACTGTTTTCATATTACAGAGAAGCTAATCTAAATATACATTTGACATATGCTGACATACACTTCCCATCTCAAATGATCCACTACACAACGCGTAGCATGCCTTTATCCTCCATATCAAACACTAGCAAGCTATTACGGGCCGTTTGGTTGGACCTTTTGGAATGGAGTTAGAATTTATTCCATCCAATTCATTGTTTAGTTAGGCTTTTTAGAAATGGAACCTCATACTATGAAGATTCTAACTCTACCCGTCCCCTTAGAATCCCATACCCACCCCACCCGCTAAGATTCATAATCCGTTTCATTTATTAATGTTGAAACCATTCCAACAAATAAACCAAACAACTCTAAAATAGTATGAGATTTAGAATTCATGCCTCCCTAGTATGAGATTCCATTCCAGTTTAATGAACCAAACATCCCCCTTAGTTTAGGTAGAATCAAGATTCATATGTGCATAGGACACATTAGGAGATCTAGAGTTCTATGATAATTATTATAAGGAAGTGCCTACGTATATATAATGTGCACGATGCGCTAAAGCAAGAGGGGTTCTGCTGTGCCAGGTGTGCCTCTTTGAATGTGGCTTGCCTAGAGCAAAAAAAGTACTCTACCCTAGTCGCCTAGCCTAGGCGAAATTTTTTAATACAATGGAAGTGACTACTATTAGAGGAAGCAAACCTATCTATCTAAGCTACGAAACCATAGATGCAATGCTGCAGTGAGAAGATAATCATGATCTCTATAAATAACTAAGATCATTCACATAACAATGACTATCCTGCATAATGCTCCGTGCCTCCAAGCCTATTATCAAGTTTTTGACTAGCCCTTTAACCTAAAACAATTTAAACGTATACCTTTCCACTTCAGCATTCATTCATTACTTTGCCGGATTCAAATATACTTCATTTCACAACTATGAAATCAACATCTCAATGGCTCTTTCTCTAATATCTTTACTTCTATATCTCCCCTCAGTCCTCTCTTCATCTTATTTCAATGACTCTCTTTTACTGATGTACCTCTCCAGCTCTTAGCTATATTAGATCAAGGGAAAGCCTTCAGTAGTATGTCCTTTCAAAGTTTCAAAAACTAAACAATGGTTACTTTGATGAAATAATAAAGAGTTTGGGAGAATAAGAACTCAAAAGATGGTGATTCGAAGAAGTATGTGAGGTTTTAAGGATGGGTGTAGACCAGATCCAAGCCATCCAACTCCAAAGGTAGGTATACCAAGTTAGGTTTTGCATAGAGAGGCAACTCAGTGTTGCTCGAGGTAGGCAAAAAGATGAATCTAGGGAAACAAGAATCTTTGTGCAACAACATGAACTGGCAGCAAGCCAACAACCCAAGGAAGACTACAGAGGTGAGTGGTAATGGCTAGGGTATGGTTCTCTTGGACAAGAAATCAAAATATATGGAATATGGTTTTCTACAAGATCCTTTATCCCCCAAAGAACCTAGGCAATGACAAAAAAAATAGGACACAAATCCTGATCTCAAGTTAAGAGTAAAAGGGACACAAAATGGACGTTTCAGATTATAGTTTGTTTCTGCTTCCCATGGGAATCACTTGCAATGGGATTATGGATAGCTAGCATAATATTCTGATGTGAAGTGCAACAAAATTGCTTATTAACATATTAATACTCCGTCACTTATGGAAATTAAGTTACATTTTAGTAAGCCCGCAACAAACCATATCTCATGACCAATCATCTTCCATCCCCATCAATGAGTGCAATGGGATACCTCCTGCCTCAAATTTTCCTCCTCCCAATATGCCTTTAAGCTATGCAAAATCAATCCTCTCTTCTTCCTCTCTCATTGCAATTGTGATGGAAATGGATCGTCCCATCCTTTTCAATATTTATTAAACAATAAAATCAAGTCATATTCATGTCAAATTCTCACTGTCCCTCCAACCAAATTCAAGTCCAAACAAACTCACACTAAGATTATGTATGTTTAGTCAAGAGGAAGGAAACATTAGTTAAGATGATATATGTTTAACCTTTTTGTGTTCAAAAGTATTACTTATATGATTATATCCAATGAATAATATTTTCGAAAAAACTTACCATGAATATCAAGCTTTAAAATGATTCTTATTCAAAAATGTATTTGTTTAGAAATGTGCATCACCCAGGTGCTTCCCTAGTAATTCTATCAATTCCCTGCAACAAGAAAACTCAAAAAAGCCAATCGCCAAAAAGTTTCTCCTAAATCTCACCCATGAAAATAGCAATTGCGATGCATAAGCAAGAAAAATAAACATATGCTCGTAATTCCAAACACTTAATCCAAAGACGTGTCAACTTCCTAATGCAAGAAAAGATATGCCCCATCTCAAATTACTTTGATGGCTGGTGAGTTTGTAAGTATTACTAGTATAAATTCTCCACAAACAAGCTATCTAAACAAAGACTTTATCCTTATTTTGGAACCTTAGATTTACAAATGCATGTGGCCTTAAAATAATGAGATACATTTAAAAATCTCTGTACATGATTATAGAGAGATGCATAGGCAAACTCCTTATACAAGACTACAAGTTCTAATCTTGGACTTACATAACTATATTAGACTTTCACTTAAAAACCTTCCTATATATGACTGATTCCTACAAGATTTAATCTTGAAAACTCATTCTTCCTATAAGGGCTTCATCTGCTTATAATTCACTTAAGTTTTCAGGTAAACTACATCCCAGAATGAAAGGAAGACCTCCCCTTGGAAAAAGGAAATCAATCAACCTTTAGATGCAACTTGCATAACATCAAAACAATGGTAGAGCCTATAAGAATTATGGTGTTAAATAGAAGTGTTATACATCTCATATGCATTGACCCGATAGAGGAAGACAGTTTATTGGGATCCAAGGCATGTTAAATACATGCCACATCACCTAAAGTAAAGAATGCAAAAACATATATCTGATCCAGAAACACGCAAATCTCCTCTACCTGCTTCAATCTTTCTGTAGCCAAGAGTTGCAAATACTTCAGCAGCTTTGACAAGCTCTTTCTGGAAATCCTGAAAATGCCATTTGTAATAAAAGGTCAAGTATATGTATCATGCAAACAAGAAATAATAAAATCAAGGTCACAATCATACCCAAAAAAAAAGAAAAAAAAAAAAGGCTTAATGCCAAGAAACCTACTCATCACTCCCTTATTCTCCTTGAGTACATGAGTCAAAGTAGAAAAAAAATTTAGAGCCAAATATCATTCAATAATCCAAAATCAAAGAGCAACATAATGCAGGGAACACACACCATGACAAGATATGCAGAAGTGAAAGGTGCCGTAATCCATGATACAAGAATAAAGCAAATGTCCACAACATTTATGATCAACATGAATTAACTAGCTAACAAAATTTCACAACTATAAATGAAAATACCAAGTAATACTTGAAACCGATTCTGAAAAGCTTCTCTTTTTCTGAACTAATTTATAACACTTCCTCCATTTCCTTTTAGATGACACGTTCAATTTAGCAAACACTTTAAGGAGAGGAGAGAGGATGTTAAAGAAAGTGGGTAGACCATGTGCTTAGCTTATTTAATCAAGTTTGTAGTGGGGTCAGCTAAAAATAAACTTCCCAAAAAGGAATACGCGTCAACTAAAAAAAACTTCCCAAAAAGGAATATGTGTCAACTAAAAAAAACGGAGGTTGTATATAATAACATGTGTTGGACACCTCTAGTCCTCTACACTTGCCACATACCCTCATGGCCTCATTCAGTCTTGGCTATGCACTTGCCATGAAGCAACATCACACAAACCATGCACTTGCCCAGCAAGAAAGCTTGAACTTATGACCTTATGTTTGAAGACTATAACCATTATTCCAAGGGATTACTTTTAACTTCTCTACCACAAAAAAAAAAAAAAAAAAAAAAAAAAAAAAAAAAAAGAGAGAGAGAGATTATATATGGTTTTTGTAGATCAGGAATCATATAAATCACAAAGTGTTCATCAGCACCCAAAAATAAAATTGTACTCGTATTTATTAAAGAACATTTAAAAAAAAAAAAAAACACCGGGATGGAAATAAAAAGCTACATTACCCTTCCTGAACGAGTTGATTTGTACAACTTGTCGAGTTGTTGATGTCTCTGCAATTCAACTTCATCAATGACCATTATATCTGAGCTCTCATAGCCAGGTCCACTGATGTGCTTTATTACAGCCTGAAAAAACCCGATTGACAGGGATTTCCTATGTTATTTAAATACTATAGAAAATACACAGAAAACACCCACAAAATGGAAAAATTATAGACTTATAGAGCGTCGGACATGAATCAAGCTTTAGAACATCATTCAAGAACCAGAGTATCAAATATCAATAGCAGTGAATACTAGCAATTTACTAATTAGAACACATATTGATCATGTTCATCCATTACCCAAAAAGCTCAGTTGATGATGTTATTTTATTTGATGTATATCTACAAGACTACAACTTGTTTGCCAAAATTCTAAGTGTCCCTCGGGCTGCCAAGGGACAACAAAAGACACCAGTAGGCAACAAACAGTGAAGAGTGCTCTATGCCTCTACCATTAATGTGTGATCTAATGTATACAAAAAGAATTGATATGAACTTTATCAAATTCTCACCTGAATAATTGATTAGACAAATACACAATTTATGTCGCTAATGAGGCCAAATCGATCTCAAGTTGAACAAACTAGCTCAAATTTACAACTCTGAAAAACCAACCATACATAATCAAGGAACCTATAACCCACACTAAATATTTCCATACTACACTCTCCCCCCAAAAACTGCGGTTCGCTACCCAACCTAACTAGCTAAATACTGCACTATATCAAATGCAAAATTCACTTAGAAAATTTCTCCCAAAAGCTATTTCAGCACCTCTTTTCCTGGGGGCTAAAAGTTTGAACACTCTATCAAATTATGAATTTGTCCAATTTGATATCCTTGAAATGGGCATCATGGGATTCGATATACTCAAAACAAATATCATTTTTCGTAGTATTGTAAAAATGTGCAGTGGGAACTCCAACATACTCAATTTTCGCAATAAGAACCCAAAAGAGTTACAGTTGCCATTTTGATATATATGGAATAATTAGCACAAGGGTTTGATAAAAAATTACATTCCAAAACTAACACAGCTTTATTTATCACCTATAATTAAAAATTTAGAACCCATAAATTATATATCTATATATATAAAATTGATTACAAATTCGAATATAAACACATATAACCCAATTTATCACCTAAACGGCTAAATTTGCTGAGCTAATTTGACAACTCAAAAATTGACAACTACATTTCATTCTCACGGAAATAGATTAACTTTTTGCAATGCCATGAATTTTAAGGGATGAATTGAAAAAGGAGTAAAAAAAAAAAAAAAACAATTGAAAAGCATGAATTTTGTAATACCTGTTGCTGCTTTGCGACTTGATCACGTAATTTACTGGCTTGTCTTCTGAAAGAATCCATTGCTTTTCAAATAATTTGAAATGCGAAAAAGATTGAACAGATGATGAGATTTGATTTTCTGGGTAATTCAAATGAGAGCAGAGAATGAAACAACAGTGAAGTCAGATCTCAATATGACAGCCAATTTGAAGTTATGCAAACGTTTGGGTCTGAAAGATGGCACGGGCAGGGCCGGGCTGTGCATAATGTACTGTTGGAATTTTTTATTTTTTATTTTTTTTGAACGATGTACTGTTGTTAGTGTGGATGATAAAACTTCCCCGTTTCAAAATACAAGTAAATTAGTTTTAAGCCCATGTAATACACGGGTTAATTTTTTAGTTAAATTAGGTTAATTTCTGTATCATGCATAGTAATTTTCAATAACTATTATTAAACTGTTATTGTAATTAGTTTTTTATGAAAAAAAAAAAATCTAAACATATAGTTGACAAATTGATCAAAATAAAGGGTTATGAAAGATATGTTAGATATAAAATGATGTAGAAAATGATCAAAATTATGTTAAGAATATTTTTTTACAGCTGAGTTAAAAAAATGTCAAATCTTTTTTATTTTAAGTAATTATATTGTACAAGATTAAATAGTTATTTTTGTATAAGATTTGTTTCCATTGTTATTGATACATGATTTTTAATTAAAGATTTGTGTTATTGTGTATTTGGATTGTTTTTAAATAGAAAAAGTAATGCGATACATCATCACAATTTTTATATGGTCAGCTACAATGTAAAGCCCATGGCCATTCAGGACCAATAAATTACGGATCCCAGAAAAAAATAATGAATATAATTAGATGTCTCATTATTTTAAGAATTTCAGCCGTTTTATTTGAACTTTCCACTTTCTTTATTTGTTCTCTCTCCTCCTGCAATTTTTGCTCCAGTTTTCTTTAATTTTTCTCTCTTTTTGTTCTCTCTCCTCCTGCAATTTGCTTTAACTCTATCTTCACCTGCAATTTTCTTTTATTCTCTTTCCTCTAAATTCTCTTCATGGTTCTTGCAATTATTGAAAATGGTGAAATTGAAAATCATAAATCCCAAGGAAAAGAAAAGATCGTCTACTTGTAAACTAGTTAATGGATCTTCAAACCCTATTTTTTACATTTTTAAGAATTTTTGAAGATCATATGCATTTTGCCCTATTTTTTACCTAGGATGCACAGGGACGGCAACTCACTGGCGTTACGGATCCAAACGTATTTGGCGTCCCCAATTTCATTATTGTCTCTTTTCCATCTTCTCACTTTCTCTATCCCTCTTCTCTCTTTGAAGTGAAGACTCAAGTGACCACCACCGGTTGCCGACTCAACGCCCACCACCACCAGTCAGGCGGTCTTCTCCTTCATCGACAACTGAAACCTCCTGTTTTTTCCCTTTTTTCCCCTGCTGCTTCATGCTTCATAAGTAGGCGGGGGTAAATAATTTTTTTTATGTGGGTTGGGGGTTGAGGGAATTGGGAATACTGGATGTCAGCCTTTGACTTTTCTCATTGAACTTTTTTTTGTAAAAAAAAAAAAAGTTATTATCTCATTTAATTTATTAATCTTTGTTAAATTAAATAATTTTTTCTATCATGTAGTAAATAAAAATAGTAAAATACCTTATAAAAATTAATGTCAATAAAAAAATTTACAAAAAATATGGGTTACTTGTTTTTGTCTTTCGTTTTGGGTATGTTATAAAATGGGTTACTTGAAATTAGGGGTTACTTCTTGTTGTTTACAAAAAAAAAGCGGGGGGCTTGTTTCATATTCTAAATTATCAATAAATGGGTTACTTAAAATTAGAGGTTACTTGAAATTAGGGATTATTTATAATATGGGTTAACTGTTGAGGGGTTACTTGAAATGAGGGATTACCTGAAATTAGGGGTTACTTGAAATTGCGCGTGAGTGTCAAACTCTGTTATGCGCGTCAGACTCCGTTATTTTTGCTGAGTTGGCAGCAAGCCACACCGTGTGGTCTGCTGCACCAAAAAGGAGTTGATACATCATTTGTATTATTAATGTTTCCTTAATAATACTTATGTTAAAAAATATATTATTAATGTTTCCTTAATAATACTTATGTTTAAGATTTATTTAATAATCTTATAAAAAAAATTAAAAAAAACACTAATACTTATGTTTAAGATTTTATTATTAATGTTTCCTAAATTACTATCAAGAAACATGCAAAGGTGAATAAAATCATTTGTACAAAACTAATCACATAATTGTTCAAAAAAAAAAAAAAAAAAACTAATCACAAAAAACTCTTCTTAAATTATCACTATTGTAACCGGAAACAAGGCTAAGCTAATAACGAAATGAAACAGCTTAAAAACTTAATTAAAAAGAATATTTGTAAATAAAGTTGAGAAAATTTACTTTTGAATGCTCTTTCAAATTCAATACCACTATTATTCCTTGAAGTATATATCTTAATAGTAATATTTTTTTAAAAAAAATACTTGAAATAAATTATAGATTTAGGGTGAAAGAGAGGAATATTAGAGAAGAAGATAAAGAATGAGTAAAAAGTGAGAGAGAAGGAAGATAAACTATTACTTTTTTGTGTAATTGAAGAATAATCAAATAAATTTAGAGGAACCAAGAGACACAAATAAAAACTGGTCATTTTATTTTTGAAGGGATTGAAAGCGTTGGTATAAAGAATATTTTTTTACAATTCATTTGAAAGCAAAATTAGAAGGAAAAAAAAAACCAAAAGCAGGAAGAGGACAAGTGTCCTTTAAACTTCCTGTTTTAAAATAGTAGTGTAAATGTTTCAATTTGACTTTTACATTATTCAGTTACTCCACTTTTACCTCTATTTTCTCATATTGATATTTGTTAGACTTGTTTCAGTAAATAGTTTTCGAATATTAATATTTTATAATTCATACTTTTTTTTAAGAAAATAATTCATTAGGCCTATACAAAACTAACCGAGAATCCGAAACTCCGATAACTCGATCTGCAATCGATCCGAATTTTTGGATATCCGATCTGAGTTTGAAAAGGCGGATATCGGATGCGAATTTGGATATTGATTTTCAAAATTTTGGATATCCGATATCCGAAATATAAAGGCTAAAATAGTGAAATATATATAAAATTTTGAAATTGTTCATATAAAACTGACCTGTATTATTAACTTATTATAATATTCTTTATATATTTGATAATAATATTTATTGTAAAAAGACTACTATTTTGTTAAAATATGTTATACAACTTAGCATAAAAAAAGCAGTAAAATTAGTGAAATTTAGAAAGTAATCATAATCAATATTACTTAATATTGGATAATGGATATCCGAAACATCCGATACAAAAATTTTGGATATCCGATATTCGGATATCCAAAATTTTTGGATCGGATTTGGATATTAATTTCTGATTTCGAGTATTCGGATCGGATATCCGATCCGTGAACAGACCTATCATTCATACTTTTGATAAATAAAGATATTACTAGTCAAAATTTTGCATTGGGAAATGTGCCGGTCAAATTGGTGCTTTTATTTTGAAACAGATAGAGTATGAATAGTATGATTATTATCAGCGAATTGCTAAAAGGTTGATTATTAAATTAATTTTTTCTAAAGTCAATTAATTATTAATTATATTTAACCTTTTTTTTTATCTATTCTAATTTCCTCCTTCTTGAACCTATACTACCCTCTTTGTCCTTTGCCACCTAATGTAACGGCTCATTAATCAGAATTATCTCTTTTCTCTATCATAAACGGAATTATATCCATATTCGACAACCATTAAATCTTTATCATCAAGCCTTAACAGCTTGTTTGGTATGTAGCGAGTAATAATTCACGGTAATGGAAATGAATTTCAAGAGTAATATATTATGGAAAACAAATTATAATCTCCATGGATTCACAATTTCATCTCCCAAGCTTATGTTTTCTTTGTATTTTTCCATTACATCCACTACCACTTGGGAGGCGTTATTAGGTGGGAATGAAAATCTATGAAGAAAAATAGACTATTTGCCATTATTAGACCATTGGCCCAACTCACTCAAGTGCATGGTGAGCAACATGAACTTGTTCCAAAATTATATAATTAATCACATAAAACACGCGCTTACCAAAAGAACAAAAATCTGGAAAAAAAAAAACAATTATTGAATTCAAAAGAATAGAAACAAAAAAGTATATATAAAAGAAAGTACGTACAAAGTAGTTGAACTCAAAAGAACAACTGATGTGGAAGCAATCCTCTATTACGGGTTTTCTTGAAGATTCTTGCAATATTCAATTGCCTGTAAAGATTTTGCGATTTTCTTGCAAATCTTGAAGATTTATAGAGTTTGAGAACACACTATCCTCTAGTTTTTTTTTTATTATTATTATTAGATTTTTGCCTATGGGTTTTTACCTTTCACTACTTGATTTTTTTTTCCTATTTTTAGGCTTTAAGAGTTTCAGTCATTAAGATATTAATTAATTTAATTAAGGATAGAATTAGTAGTTGGTTACAAATATGATTAGAAGATAAATTATGATTAGTATTCTTAGTTTTATAGCTTATCTTAGGATTATTATTATTATTAGTTACCTATCTTCAGTGATGGACCTAGGATTTTATGAGTGTTGTGTCACCCATCGACCGTATACCAATCAATAATTAATGTATATGTATTCTAAAAGCTATTAAAAAAAAGTCATTCCAAAAGTATCAAGGGTTTGTTTGGTCAAGCTTTTGGAAAACAACTTTTGTTTCCTAGAAGTAGTTTTCCAGAAACTATTTCTATAGAAACACTTGCAAGAAACAGAATTGTTTGGCCTAATAAAATTAGAAGTGATTCTTAGAAATAGAAACTATTTTACCCTGTTTGGCCTGTATTAGTTTTTTTCATTTTAGGGAATAAATTAGTATTAGTTTCCTATACATTATTGTTTATATTATGGTTTATAATATAAAATTTCAATTTAAAATTTTAAACAATTCATAAGTCTAAATGCTTAGATTATTTTGTCAAAATATAATAATCATATCCAAAAGTTTCATATGTTCATAATTACCCATTATTATGCCAAAATGTATGATATTATTATCCTTAATAAAGATCCAATATGTTACAGTTCACGATTCAATAGGATATTGCAATGTTGTAGCGAATAGACTCCATACTAAAATCATCCATCGATCCATCATGTTCTTCTAGAGTAATTACTGAGTCGCCTCCAATTTCCTCATCGCCTTCAACTTCGGGAATACAATAAGGATTCACATCACATTTATGAAATTCCAAATCTTCAAGTGCGTGTCTTCTTATGTAGCTATGCATAGCCATAGTAGCAGCAACAAGTTTATTTTGTGTTTCTAACGGGAAGCCGGGAATAATTGATTATATCCTCCATCTTTTTTTCCATACACCAAATGTTCTCTCTATAACAT